CCTCAATTAAAAATAAAAAAGGATAGCTTGCAAAAGACAGGTTCTTTAGTAGGTAATAAACAGGCCTAAGTGTGAAAAGTAGATTAGATACAGGATATTACGGTCAGGCTGACAGACATGGCCATTTGTTGGTAGTTGGACTTTTCATTGTATAGACATTTACCTATGATATTTACGCAGAGTTGAGAACTCTGCCTACCTCACAGGAATATTGTGAAACATAATTACATGTGACCCACAAGTGGCACACATTATAATACATATTCCTGAAAAGTTTTGTAAATATTAAATCATGTTATTATAACTAGCAATGTAATGTATAGGAAACTTAAGGAATCCTATTTTCAAGATTTAAAAAATTCTTCTTATTATATAAAGAGTCATATCTACTTTAACTCTTCTATAAATTCAGATTTTAAAAATTAGGTCATTTTTATTAGCTGATTCTTATGAAATAAAGATTTGTTTTATATAGATGTATTATATACACATAAATAGGCATTGACATATGGACATATGTATATAGAAAGAGAGTTAGGAATTAGCTCTGAACTGTAGGCATTATTTATCTTTTATTTATCTGTATCTTGGAAAACGTATGAAAATTAACAATACTGTCTTAGAAACCTTTTATTTTTTAATTTTACCCATAGTTTCTTATTTTCTACCATTTTCTTCAGAGGAAGAAATTTAATCTCAAATTAGATAGCTAGATTATGGAAAGAACTGAGTGAAGTAAGGCCTTTACCTTTTTCCCAGAATGTAAAGTGCCTTCATTTACAAGGATAGTTGAGAATTTATGGTTATTAGACTCTCAAGTGACAGCATCTGTTGTAGATGCCTTATTAGTTCAATACTGAATCTATCCTAGTCCTGTTAGATGACACCCACTGGCAAGCATATCATAGATTTTGTTCATGTGAATGCTAAAAGTGTAAGAGCTTTTTTTGGTTATAGTTTGTTATTTTCACAAGGTAAATTTGAAATAACTTTTGTTGGTGGTGTGGTACTGACATTTTCTCAGATTTTAAAGTTTAAGATTTAGGCAGAAGTCATTTCAATGCCTATTGAATGAGTACAGGATATCTAAATTCTGAGTTATATTTTTAAACATGAAATTAACTAATGTAAAATTTTCTACTATAAAACAGCCAATTTCCTTTCTACTTATTTTCTCTATTCTTTGATTAAAAATCTATGTGTATTAAGCTTTCCTACTTTTAGGATAACTTTTTAGGTTAGATTACCAGTAATGGAATTATTGGATCAAAGTGTGTCAATTTTTTTTTTCTTCTAAATATGTTTCTATTGATTTCAGGGAGAGGAAGGGAGAGGAAGAGAGAGAGAGAGAAACATCAATGATGGGAGAGAGTCATTAATCGGCTGCCTCCTGCGCGCCTCCTACTAGGGATTGAGCTCGCAACCTGGGCATGTGCCCCAACTGGGAATTGAACCGTGACCTCCTGGTTCATAGGTCAAAGCTTAACCAGTGAGCCATGCTGTCCGGACTGAACTTTGTTTTTTTTTATTAATTGATTTTAGAGAGAGAGAGAGGAAGGGGAAGTGGGGAGAGAGAGAAAGAGAGAGAGAAACATGGATTTGTTCCACTTACTGATGCATTCATTGGTTGATTCTTGTATGTGCCCCGACCGGGGATCAAACCGCAACCTTGGCATATTCAGGAGGATACTCTGATCAACTGAGCTACAGGGCCAGGGCCATGAATTTTTTTAAAAAGTTCTTGATGTATATTTATTGCTAAATTGGTTTGGTAAAGAATTATACGAGTTTATTGCCATCAGCAGTGTTTGCATATCCATTTCCTTACATATTATGTATTTAAGTGAGAATTTAAATCCCACTGTTGCTTTAATATGCATTTCTTTGATTCCTAGTTATGTTTAATATTTTCCATGTTTTAAAATTAGTTATGATGTTTGTTATTGTCTCTGTCCATTTATCTATAAGGGTTTAGAATTTTTCTTTTCATATAAGTTATTTCTATATTTAAACATCAAAAGTGTCTAAATGTGTGTCTCTCACCACCAACCCAACCTCTCCCGGCCCCTCCCTGCAAAATAGAAAACCTGACCAAAATTAAGTTCAACAACAAAAATAAAGTTTGTTGGGAAAAAAGATTGCAGGAAATATATCACAGGTTTAATTCTTTATCTAGCTAAGTATCAGATTTTTTTTTGGTAGTGTGTGTAGCAAAGCTTAATCTTTTACTGGAGACACAGAGCTATCCAGTTATCATTGTTAATGAGAGGACAGTGCTGTAACCAGAGCTGCCTGCCCTCAGGCTTCTGAAGGAGGTATGCAGATTTGCCCCTACTCTCACTGGGCCTTCATCTGTTACTGTTACGATTAATGTTTCTACCAGTTAAATATCCACAATTACTTTATCAAAAGTGGTTCAATTTCTTAAAGGATGCCAAAAAGGAAAAAGAAAATGTTAACTCAAAAGTATACACAGTTTAAATATTTGTATATTCAATATTTGCCTTAAATTTTTACTGTTCAGTAGAAATTGGATCCAGATAAAATGTTGTCGTCTTGTGTTTGGTGATCTCATGTCATTGGGTAAGGGACGATGCTCTGATTTATTTGCCTCATGGGTGCACAAATGTCACTCCCCGCTCCTCTCTCTGGAGCATAGGTCCTGACTCCGTGGGAAGCATTAGTTTTGTTCAAGGGAGGTTGCAGAACATGGAAATATGAGGCAGCATTATAGATTTTCTCAGTCCTCTCCCACTTCATTTCCCTGTTGGTAATGATGTGTTGCTATAGATTCTAAGGGTAGGAGGACAGCCACACCTTTTGGAAGATGCTTCAGAATCTCCAGTTATATAGTTTGAAACCCCCTTTTCCCAATAATTCTGTGTCCCTTCCAATACGTTTTTTAGAACCATTGTCCTAGGCCCATAGAGAAAGGGCTGGGATTGTTGCTTTAATTCTACTGGTAAAGAGAGATCCTTTTTGTTACCTAATCAATTGGGGAAAACATAGAAGAAATATACGAGCCCCTTTAATAGTACAAAGAAGAGATTACAAGGAAGTGATTTGCTTAACTTTAAGGAATGCTGTTCATTGCAGGGACACAGCAACAGTTGTGCTCTGGCTTTGGCTATTCTGGGGACTGTTTTGGTCCCAGCAGACCCACCACAGTGCCTCTGCTTCAGTCTCTGTCCCTCACTTCCAACTTCCCCAAGCTTGGTGGCACATCCTTGTTCAGCCTTTGAGTTAGGCCTGAAAGTCTGGGCCAGCCTGCACCGCTGGTTTGGCTCTAGGCCCAGGATTTTACAAGTCATGAGGAATTACCTGAGGCTCTGTTTCTTGTGAGGTAGGCAGTAGGGCAACACTGACACTGGCTGGCAATTATGAGGTTTCCCAGTCTCTCAGGGCAAAATTCACAAATAATCTGCTTTTTCAAGATGAAATTTGCCATAATGGTCAGGGAATCATGTGACATGGTTGGGAATGGTTAATGGAAGGACAGGGTGTGTGGAATATGCGTGCTTAGGAACCACCACTAGGATTTGTTTGTTTGAAACTGCAGGATTGTTTCAGTTTTTGTATTCCATATGAAATACTTAGGGGATGAGCCACACAGGCGGATACTGCTACCAAAGGGGGAGTATGTCAGTCAACCCTCACATGTGTTAGAGTAGAAAAAGAATTGAGAAGCTCGGATCCAGAAAGTGTCACTCAACTTGAAGTTGGATGTTTCTAAATTTCATACGTGCACTCACTGTCAATAACATGCTTTTCATCTATGACTAACTTCAACAGATGTCTACTCTCTTATGCTGCTTAGTATAATTCTCAGAATAATTCTCTTGTTAAGTGTTTAGAAGTTTTGGAATGGGGAAAGAATCAATGGACAGCAGCTAGATTCGTACAGGCTTTCTCTTTTTATGACACATGCATGATATGTTTTGATGAAAATGAAGAAAATACTCATTTTTGCACGTGCCATCAATCTTTAACAATCAAAAATTCACTTGGCAAGAGAAGTGGTGTAGCTATACAGAATTGTGCTTATTGTTAACATTGTTTTGTTTACTGTAAACCTGGCTCAATATTGGTAAATATAGTGTAGCAGAAACTGAGCTGTTGTGAGCTATCTGGGCATTGGTCCAAAATATCATTAAAAATACTGCCTCAGACTCATTTGGGTTTATGAACAATATTTTGTTAACAGCTTAACTGAAATTGAGCCACATGGTGTAGCTTAAAAATTCTGAATCGACAAGATAATGAGAGTAGTGTAAGTATGTACTGCATACTTAATATTCTATATTTGGGTGATAAATTTATATGTAATTTTGGGTTAACTTTTAAACCTCAAGCACCCAAATGCTTATAATGATCTGATATTTTTAAAGTTTACTTAACACTGTGTTTTGCTGTTAAGTTCAATGCCTTATAATGTAAAATACTGTTGGTTTAAAATCAAACCTGAAGGATAAAGAGAGGCTACAGGACAGGTCTTAAAGGGACATTCAGCACCTGCTTGGCATATGGGTGTGCAAACAGCTGCAGTTTACATTAACATTCACCAGAACACTGGAAGGTCGTCAAGTGGTTGGAACGCTCCAATGTCCTAATTCATGTATTTTACTAGTGAAAGATTATAATTATACCTTAAAATAAGTTATAAGGGTTATTAATGTTTGGTTATAAGTGATTAATTATATAAGGTATAACAAAGGGAATGAGGTTATGGTAAGTGAGATGATCCAACACAAAAATCTGTATTTAAATGTTTCTTGCCAAGAAATGACATATTTGTCTTTTTCTTTGTGTGCTATTTTAACTAGTTTAAGTTCTTTCTGGACATATAATATTTAAACTCCCATTGAAAGGATATGGGAAGAGTTGATTTTGTGTCACTGTTAAGTGTGTAAAATATTTTTGTACTATAAAGGTGTGTGCATTATTTAAAGAATTAATTTTAAATATTTCTCTTCTCAATAAATATTTTATTCATTTTCCAGGTTAGCACTCTACGTATATGAATACCTGCTCCATGTAGGAGCTCAGAAATCGGCCCAAACATTTTTATCAGAGGTATGTGTTATACATTTTCTGCATTGTATTTTGATGTCTTATGTAAGCAAATGAAAAAAACCTCTAACAACTATTTGAAAGAAATTGATCCTTATATATTATGTAGTGAATGCTTAGTTATCACTATGGATAATGTAGTCTTTATAGATTATTTGTAAACAGTTTTAGATCCCAAAATGCCATTTCCATGCCACTAACCTTCTAGTGAATTGTCCAGCCATTTTTCCCTTAGAAATGGAAACTAATATTAGCCTTGGCAAAAATAACCAAGAAAGCAAATTTGCTTTAAAAAAAAAGGCAAACACCACCATGTCTCTAGTTCTAGCGATATCTTATTTTGACATAATTCATAGTTTTGGAAAATATGATTTTTGTTTGTTTTAATTTTGTATGGATAATAGTGGATTGATGGCTAGATTTCAGTTAGAAAACATTTGATAATCCTATTTCAAGTTCTTTTTTCTCTTTCTGTTTGTCTCCACATTTTTTAAAGCTTGAATTTGCGCTTTCTTGCAATGGTACTTTTTCTTTTCCAACTTATATAATGATGAGGTTGAGGAGGATTTTATTTAGTTTTATTATGTGCCAAGGCACTTTACATGTATTATCTGATTCTTATAAGAGATTTGCAAAGTAGATGATATTATTCCTGTTTTACTGATGAGAAGAGCAGGGATCACCGAGTTTATATAACTGGCTCATGGGCACATAGCTGAGTGTAGAACTAGAATTCAAACCTAGGTCTATGTTAATTTCAAAGCCCCTGGTTTCCCCTTATATCTGTGCTGTCCAGTATGGTAGCCACTAGCCATATATGCCTTTTTGAGCTCTTGAAATATGACTTATCCAATTAAGAAATTCTGTAAGTGTGAAATACACACTGGATTTTGAAGACTTAGTGTAAACAAAAGAATACAAAATATCAATAACTTAAAAATGGTAGTATTTTACTACCATTCATACATTGAAATGGTAGTATTTTAGATATATTGGGTAAAATGAAAAATGTATTATTAAAGTTTACTTTACCCTCTTTTCTTTTTTAATGTGGTCAGTAGAAAATTTAAAATTACATATGCAGCTCTAGCTCTCATTTGTGGCTCATGCTTACATTTCTTTGGGACAGTGCTGCTCAGAATCATGTTGTCTCTAGTGATCTCATGGTTTGTTCCCCACCAGACCAGGGACACAGCAGGCAACCCCTTGACCAGAGTGCCTGACCTGAGGTACAGCCTTCTTGAGATTCACTTGCTCTCCAAACAAACGTGCAAGTAAACAAACACACGTAGCCCCCAACCTTGTATCCAATTAATTAATATATGTGACCTATTAGGACCTGTTTGCAAGTAAGGAATTTGAGAGGTTTGCTCACTGCATATAAGAAGTCAATTGTTTTACCATAGAAGGACTATATTCAGTGTAATAAAACTTTGATTTCAAAGTTAATTCAAATCAAAACAGAAGTTTAATGTATCTTTATCTTATGAAGTTATTAATTAGAAGTCTTTGGCCTGTGACCTTTCTAAGTCACATTTACTGAGATAGTACAGAGGCGATGATTGAGACTGCAAAAAGGATGCTCTTACTATTTGTATTATTAATCGCCACCAACCTATAGTATATTTAAAAGAAATAAGACTGAACTACCTTCAGTTCTTTGGTCTCCTCGCCACGGGGGACCTTCTCGCTAGCTGTTTGCCTGAGGGCTCTGCCTGCCTTCCATGTTGCTGGCTCCTCACACCTCTTCCATTGTCTCTGTTCCTGAATCCTCCCCACCCCTGACCGCTTCTTCCTGAGAGCCAATCAGCAACCTCCTAAATTCTCGTCATTTTATTGTATAGAATATAAAGTATTTGTTTTCTACTTTCAAACCATTCCTAGGGGCCTTCTGCCTTTCTGGGCCGAAGAGTAAGAACAGAAATTGAAAGGATCTATCAAGGAGCTTTTCCAATAAAAAGTATTCCTGTTTAAGAGGACTTCCACCTCCCTTCTGAAGTAAGACAGCACTATTCAATAATAACACTTCAGAGGGTCACGGAAATGATCTCTAATCTGGGCTGTCTAGTAAGTTCCCACTAGCCACATGTGACTATTGAGCATTTGAAAAGTGGTTACTGCAAGTGAGGGATAGTCAGTTAACTTAATTTCAAATTTGAAGAGCCACATCCTGGTCAGTGAGGACCACTTTACAGCACAGTTTGGGACTATCTGCTTCAAAGCGCAGACAGATTTCTCTTCCTGTTATACATCTGTTTGTTTTAATTTTTGAATTAAAATGTAAAAACTCAACTTTTTTTAAACATTTAGTTTAGTGTATAGATGCACCCATACTTCTATACATGGAAGCTTTTAGAAAATTAGGGGGAACAGTAGGTTATATCTAAATTAGAAGTCTTGGGAATTTTGCCTAGGAACAAATGCATACATAGGTATATAGCCTCTTTAACACAGGAACTAGCTTTATCCTTTTATGGTGCTAATTTTTTTTAATTCTTAAAATGTGTGAAAGGATTTAGGAATACTCTGAGACTTTGGAGCCTGAGTTTCAAGCCTGCTGCTGTGCTATAGGAGATACTGTTGGAGGGGGTCTAGATTGTTAAAGAGGTCCCTCATTGACAAGGCTAGAACCTCCAGAAAGATGCTGCTGACCCCCAGAATTGACCCACCACTGCTGTTGCTGGCTGCCTCTGCAGCCAGCAACTGCTTCATTTCGGGAGCCAGGGGCAGGAAGCTTCTCTTCTTCCTCCTGCCTTTTGATCAGCTGCAAGTGTCTCCTGATGGCAGAACCTAACAGGAAACCAGCTGGCAAGAAGCCCAGGAAATGTAATTTTCAGAATCCCAGCACCAGTGTGGAATGGAATATAAAAGGGCGGGCGTGGGGCTGAGAGGTAATAGGTAGTTGATCAGTGTACCTTGATGGAAGCAAATAATGATGAAAAGTTAAGCAGAGGTGTGTGTATATGTTCATGTGTGCACACATGTACATTTATCATTTTTTCTTTGTTTACACAAATGTTAGTTTATTACAAACACTGTTCTGTGCTTTGATTTTTGTTTCACTTGTTTGATTTCAATCATTTTATATTGGTCTGTGAAACTTCATAATTGTCTTTTTTATGGTTATAGGGTATTATTCTATGAAATGTGCTATAATATATTTCACCAGCCCTATATTTACTGACATTTAGGTTATTTCTAGTCTTCTGCAGTTACAAACAATACTTAAATGTAAGTTGTTTTATACACACACACACATATATTTGCACACGTGACCATATTTATAGGATAAATTCCTAGAAAAAGAATTGCTATATCAGATAGTATGTGCATTTGTAATTTGTAATTATTATTTATAAAGCTTATGGCATGTCTTACCCCTGCCCATATGATTCAGTGTTTGGTTCTGCATTTATATAGAAATGCTGAAAAGACTAGATCTTATGATAAAGACCCAGCTTAATCACAGATAAGACCCTCAAATGCAGCATATGGCAGTGGGAATGGGCCTAGAGATTTACCTGAAAGTTATAGGAGAATGCAGCTTTTAGCTGGGCAAATGGTACAAGGAAGAGAAGTGGATGATTAAATAGCAAAAAAAAACACAAAACCCTCCCTCGGACACTTTGAGAGAATTTGATAGATGCCACTCAAACATTTAAATAAGCCTGAAGCCCATGAAACTCAGCACAACAGAAAATATCTCTTCATAAATAGCAGAATTGGTTCTAAAATGACTGTTGACATTTAGAGGTGTTTTCTGGCCTTTCCTCAGCCCCATCCATCGTTAATGTATCTTAGCTAAAAAAAAATTAAACGACGTAGGTGAATATGATTTTGAAAGGAAAGTCCTTCTCTACCCTTTTCTAGAAATTGTACTTGTAAGTTTGGTGTAATTTGTTTCATATGACTACACCCAAATGCACGCTTTTTTAAAAAAAGAAAAGGTTTTATACTATGTATATTGTTCTTCAACCTTCCAAATCTCCAGCTTGAAAAACCAACGTAGATGTCCCTTTTTCTATGTAGATATATCTTATCCTTTTAAATTATTATACACTGTTCTATAGTATGTAAGTATCAAAATTTATTTTACGTTCACTGTTGGTAAATGTTTTTCAGGTTGTGTCTAATAATGCTCAATGAACGTGCCTTGGTTTTCTGTAGATCAGGATTTTGTTTTCCTGGCTATGGTTTCATACTTTCTCTAAATAAGTAATACCTAGAGCAGTAGTTTGGCGACCCCCCCCCCCCC